CAATATAATTCATCCTGATCTTGTTTGCTGTGGATAACAGATAAACTTGGTATTCAAGGGAAAAAGATTAAGAAAGATGGAGACTTGGAGGTAACACTTGCTGATGAAACTAATTCAATTCAATTCAATTCAATTCAATATTATTTATCATATGGTTTTCCAGATCTAAACATTCAGAATATGCCGAATAACACAAATATCAATAAAATCCAGAATAATTGAAAATCAATGTATGCATTCATAACAAACAAATAATATAACCGAAAATCCAGATCCATAACATATTCTATTGCTAGTTCGACAATTAATTCGAGAAAAATAAAAAAATAAAATTTACCAATTAATATAGTATATATTGGTATTCCGCGTTGAGAGGAGGAAAATCTCCATCTAGAAATCCGACGGAAGCAGCGACAAGGTGGGGGAGGCGCCGCCGCCAATTGTACCGGGCGTCGATGTGGTGGTGTTCGACGAGGGGGAGACGATCTCCAACATCGGCGGAGGAGGGCCTCCTTCAACGGGTTTCGGCCGGGGCGTTTGAAGGGTGACTCCGGCGGCGGCCTACAGATGTGAAGAAGAAGGAAAAGAAAAAAAGAAGAAAAAGAAAAAAAAGAAAAAAAAAACTGCGAACAGAGAGAAAGAGCGAGAGAATGAAAGAGGGAGAGAGCGAGAGAATGAAATTGAGGGAGAAATAAAATTGTATTATATTAAAAACCTAACACATAGGGGTACTTTAGTCTTATCATGGCTGGTAAGGGGGGTCTCACTAATTTAAATTGGAGTGTGGGTTATGAGAAAAGTCTTTAAAGTCAATTGGGTTTAGTTCAAAATATTTTCTAAATAAGGGGTGTATTGCATATTTCCCCTATTTATTATTAATATCTTCAATAAACACTAAATAAAATAACTTATTGGCTTAATTTTCATAATATATTCGTAAATTTACAACAAAAGATATTTCAAATTTTGAATAGAATATTATATGAAGTGAATAACACAAACATATGATCATATAAATAACTACTATAATACATAAATTTAAAGCTTAACTGAAATAAATACCTAACTAACATATTTGGCTATGTTTGGTAAGCTTCTCAAATTTTTTTTATTCTTTCCCCAAAATAAAATTATCTTTCTGAAATATCTTAAAAAACTTTGCCCAAAAAAAATTTAAATTTTCTCCTCTAATAGACATGATTTGACTGCTATAGTGAAAATTGTTTTCACTAAATTACAAACTAAAACTACTTTATCCTTCAAATTCTTCTCTCAAAATACCTTTTTCCAACACCTTTTAGACATGATTTGACTTGATACAGTACAAATTGTCTCCTCTCAAAACACAAATAAACTTTATTTTATTTTCAAATTCTTCTCCCAAAACATCTTTCTCCAGAATAAAATGGAAACGGAAGCCCAAAAGCTTACCAAACATAGCCAAAGTTGTGTTTCCTCCCTTTCATATTTGAAAGTTAAAACTCCTAACTCGAGTTGATCGAAAATGGATCGGTTCTGAGTTTAAACTCACTCAAACTCGTTCCCCCTCCCTTTATCATCCGTGTTATGACGACCATAGTAATTTAATTTTAAACTAAATATTCACCAGACGACTATGGATTTAAGATTGGCTTCATTACAACTCATTCAAACTCGATCGAATTCAAAAGAAATTTTAAAAGTCCTAAAAAAAGTAAAAAAAAAAATAAGTTGGACTTTTGAACTGGCGGCTAACGTGCAATTGGTTTTCTAGAGCAAGTTGACTGTATTCTATTGTAAAAGAAATTAGTACATGAATTCTGACTATTAGAAAACCTCTAAAGAAGGGAATGTGAGATGTTATATATATCTAAAATAATTATAAACATAATTGACTCAAATTCTTCCTCTGAGTTGACTCTGTTGTAACCTTTTCTTTTTTAATAAAATAATTTAAATGTACAATAGAATCTCAATAAATTAATAACCTCGTTTAAATAATATGTTTTTTCGGTCCCGACTCGAAGGCAACGTGTTAAAAAATATTTCGTTAAATTAATATTTCGCTAAATCAATAGAATTTGGCTGGTCCCGACTGTATTAATTTATACAAGTTTGAGTGTAATTGAATATCAGCTCTAATATTTATGATATTAATAAAAAGTGAGACCAGGGTCCAGATTTTTGTTTCTTATTTATTAATTGGTTTAATTATATAATCTCTTTTAATTATTTGGGATGTCTATAAATTACTATAGCATGCTTTGTAATGTCTATTTATCAATTAGCTAAAAATTGAATACATACAGGCTTAATAGAAATTGTTACTTATCAAATGTTCCGTTTGCCTTTTTATTATGCAATTTTATGCGTAGAAGCAACCTTTCTTTTTTCACTTTTTTGACCAATAATTTTTTTTTTTAAATAAAAAGAAAAGATTGTTTTCTATAAAAATTGTCCATGAATTACTTTGATTTTGAAAGTGTGTGTTGCACACGTCTTAAATTTGGCATATGGCAGAAAAGAAAAAACCAAAAAAAGTTTTCATCATTTTAAATTTGGGAGATAATTTTACAATTGACTACGGTTCGATTTTTTTGATAAACCAAACATGTACAGATAATATCGGTTTTTCAAATTTTAAAAACCGAATATGTTGGTTTTTCTCGGTTCAGTGTTAATCGGTTTTTCGGTTTTCGGCTAACGGTTTCGGTATCTATTCGGTTTATTTTCGATTTCGATTTCGTCTATTTGTTCGAATCGGTTCGGCATAAAACCGATATATTTGGACTTTCATTATATTTATTTGAGAAAATTAACAAATAACCACCGAAAATTAACTTATAAAAAATACTTCATAACCCAAAATTAATTAATAGAAAAACATGTCACATGGAGGCACTCGAAAGTAAAGACACGCTAGGGTAAGTATTTATACTATATATCAAAAAGACATCATTTTGTATAAATCGGTTCGGTTCAGAGAATCGATTCGATAAATTTTTTATTCTCCATACACAAATCGATATTTTCGATTTTTCAAAAAAAAAAATAACCGTGTATGCGGTTTTAAGTCGGGACAGTATACATCGGCTCAGTTTTTTCGGTTTTTTGTACGGTTTTTCGGTTTATCGATTTTTTTGCTCACTCCTTCAATTGACTATTTCAATTGAAGGTAAGCAAAGCTAAGTTACTAAATACTCATAGGTAGGGTTGGGACTCCGTTAGTTTTTGTCCCGCAAACGATCTATTATCTATCATATTTCTAGACAGATAATATTTTTCTAGAAAAATGATTGGGTCGGGTCGAAAATTTCAACCAACGCATTTATAATGGGTCAGTTTATGGTTTTTAATATCATCAAAAGTTATATGTCAACCATCTAACTATATTAATAAAATTTCATTAAAATATTATTTTAATTTCTAATTGTTTAAAAAAAAATTCTAAATTAAGTGTGTAATTTTTGTAAGTGGGCAGTAGAATTATCAAAATAGTTAGTATTTTAATTTAAAAAATCAACAAAGAAAACAAGTTGACACAAATCTTCTACCAATTACATTATACCTATGCCGCCCTTTGAAAATAAGCTCACAAAAATTTCACCAATTTCGGAATTGTACTTTTATCGAGTTGCTATTAATTATTTGGGTAAATTACAAACACCCCCCTGAGGTATGACCAAATTACAAAAACACCCCTCTTGTTTGGATAATTACAACCACCCCCCTCAACTCATCAAATTTAGTGGAATCTTCGAGATTATATGGAATATTATCACTTTTGTACCCGTTTTATCCCATTCAAACTCTACATTATGAAGCAAGATGACCATAATTTGTGATTTTTAGTTTGTATATATCAGTTTGTGGTGCATCGGAAACTGTATTTTTTACACAAAGAGTACAAACTAGAGCACATTTCACGGAATCTAGATGACTATGTTGAATTTGGCACCATAAAGGTAAGAAAAAATCATAGTTGAGGGGGGTAGATGTAATTATCCAAACAAGAAGGTTTTTTTTGTAATTTGACCATACCTCAGGGGGGTGTTTGTAATTTACTCTAATTATTTTGAAATGGCATATTTTAACTCCAATTTTCGGAATTTTAAAGTGAATTAGATGGCGATGCATATTCGGCAATTTCGGAACCAAATATTCAATTGTCAACCATCAACCGACCCACAAAAATAGAACTATCGGTCTTAAATTGATTTGCCCGATAAATTGGTTTTTAGGTCGATGATCCAACCCTCCATAAGAAAAATGTTTAATTATCATTGAAAAAATCGAAATTGAAATTGCATCACCTTTCCAGCATGCACCCCTATCCAACCACAACAAACTCTCGTGTCAGAATTAGTTTCACAAATTCCCACACACTCACCCAATTGGCCCCATTTTTGCCTCACATTATTACCACAATCTAAAAATTAAATAATAATAATTAATTAAAAAAAAAGGCATCCAATGAATTATCGACACATACGCAAAAGAATTATTCATCCTACAGAAAAACAAGGATTTACAATCAACCCCTAAGGTATGCTCAAAATACAAAATAACCCCTCATATTTGGGTAATTACAACCACCACCTTAAACAACCCCTCATATTTGAGTAATTACAACCATTACCCTCAACGATAAATCTTCTTACACGTCTATCATTGCGGTGTCAAATTTAGTGAAATCTTCTTGGTTATATGGAATATTCTCAATTTTGTACCCGTTGAGCTCCATATTTTTAAGCAATATGATCATAAGATGTGTGTCTCTTGGCATGTAAAGATCAGATTGTGGTCCATCATAAACTGCATTTTTGCACAAAAAGAGTTAAAATTAGAGAACATTCCACATAATCTAGAAGATTATATTGAATTTGACACCATAAAAGTGGACGTGTAAGAAGATTTATAGTTGATAGGGGTAGTTGTAAAATCATCCAAACATGAAGGGTGTTTTCATAATTTGATCATACTGGGGCAATTCTAATTTAGCAAAAAAAAAAAAAAAAACAAATGTCCCAAATTTCCCCACAACTACATAAAGAAAACATCCAAAAAGCCCCATACAACTCTCTTTCCTTTGTACCATTTTCAGTGAAAGAAAACCATGTCCTTCATTATTGCTCTCCTCTCCCTCCTCCTCCGCCTCACCTCCGCCGCATCTCCGCCCTCCCTCCGGCCAGGTTTCTACTCGGAAAGCTGCCCGGAAGCGGAATCCGTCGTAAGGGAAGTCCTCCGGCAAGCCATGGCCAGAGAAACAAGAAGCGCTGCCTCTGTCATGCGGTTGCAGTTCCATGATTGCTTAGTTAATGTAATAAAATATAAAATCAAGAACCCTTTATAAATATTTAATTGGAAATTATAATTTCTTGAATTATTATTATTAATTTTATTTATAGGGTTGTGATGGTTCGTTGTTGCTGGATGACACGGCGGAGATGGTGGGGGAGAAATTAGCATTGTCGAACATAAATTCGTTGAGATCATATGAAGTTGTCGACGAAATTAAGGAAGCTTTGGAGATTGTGTGTCCGAATGTTGTCTCTTGTGCTGATATTTTAATCATTGCTGCTAGAGATGCTGTTCTTCTGGTATGCCTTTTTTTTTTTTTTTTATCACCTTTTCCTTGTGATTTTTTTTAAATTTGGCACAAATTATATATTTGACAGATCTGAAATTAAAGATGGATTTGTGAAAACCATTATTACACTTGTAGCCCACATTGATTCTCTTGATTCAATTGTGACCGTAGATTTAAGTTCTTGTTCCACGAGGGTAAAAATGTCATTTATTATTTTCGAAATGGATTTTTAGTCGAAAGTACAACTTCAAGAAAAAAAAATATTAATTTTTGGGTGATTTTTTCAAATTCCATGGGTTTTTTGAAGCATAATCAGAAGACTAAAATCGTATTTTTATTTCAACGAGGGTAAAAAGGTCATTTACTGATTCCAACATGGGTTTCAAGTCGAATTCAGGACGTATTTCTTATTCAACAAGGTTAAAAACGTCATTTACTAACTTCGAGTCGGTTCGTAGTGGAAACCACACCTCAAGAAAATTTCCGTTAATTTTTCAAACTCGATCGAGTTTACGTGTAATTAGACCTAACCAGAGGACTATTCCGTACAGTGTAATTTACTAATTTACCCTTGTATCGTCGTTGATTTGAAAATTAGAGTGGAGGACCAAATTGGGAAGTGAAATTAGGGAGGAAAGACAGCCTAACAGCCAGCCAAGAAGCTTCAAACGACATAATGCCGAGCCCACGAGCCAATGCAAGTTCCTTAATTACCCTCTTCGCCAAATTCAACCTCACCGTCAAAGACTTGGTCGCCCTCTCCGGGTCCCACTCCATCGGAAAAGCAAGGTGCTTCTCCATAGTCTTCCGGCTCTACAACCAATCGGGCACGGGCCGGCCCGACCCATCGATCGACCCGGATTACCGCGAGAAGCTAGACGGGTTATGCCCGCTCGGCGGCGACGAAGAAGTCACCGGAGATCTAGATTCTACGCCGGAGATATTCGATAATCGGTATTTCAAGGACTTGGTTAATGGGAGGGGGTTTTTGAACTCGGACGAGACTTTGTTCACGTTTGATGAGACTAGGGTTTACGTGAAGATGTTTAGTGAGAGTGAGAGCGAGTTTTTCAAAGCGTTTGTTGAGGGGATGATTAAGTTGGGGGATCTGCAGTCGGGGTTTCCCGGCGAGATTAGGAGGAGTTGTAGGGCGGTGAACGGGCGGCCGGTGGAGGAGGTGTTGGTGGCGACAAAGCGGTGAGAAATATTTTGTTGGGGTTGATCAATTGTTATTGGAGGCATATTGTGAATTTATTTACCTAAGAGAAGATTTGTGTGAACAAAGATTGTTGGCATTTGCATTTATTCTCAAGTTTGATGATCTAAACTTATGTTGCAAATCAATCTTAAAAATTACAAAATGGCCCAAAAGTTGTAATCAAAATGTATCAAATCAATCCAATCGACATTTCCCAGACGAGGCGCATATGTATTACTGTCACTCGGATCGAAACAAAGTTCAATAACAAAATGTATACATATAAAGCTAAAGAACATCAATTAAAACAAATAACATCCCAAAATTTTCATACAAAAAAACAACAGCAAAAGAAAGAACAATTCAATTCAACGAACATATTCGAAAGAATGTCAAAATTATCTCAAATTAGAAAAATAGTACCACGAAATATTCAAATTGCAGCATAAAACGAGTGTAGTCTACTCAAACTTAAGCAACAATGGATGGTTTAGACGCAGTAGAGAGTCGAGACCTCTTCTTAGCCAAACTCTCGCTACGTTTTTCTCTCTGTTCCTTCAAACGACTAGCTAGAAGCTTCTGGTAATCAATGGCTTCTGATTGAGCCTTTGCGATTCTCTTCTTCTTGTCTGCAATTCTAGCTCTCTTCCTCTGCAATGTCAGTGGGGTAACCAGCCTCTGAATCTTTGGTGCTTTGCTTATTTTCTTACCTGAAAAATCGCAACATAAAGTGTTTGATTATTGATATATAATATAAAATACGGAAAACCCAATTCTTTTATGGTATTTACTTGGTGAGTTTTCAAAACTAACCAGCCTTGTTGGTGAATGTACGGCGGTAAGTGTTGACGTATTTCCTGACATCATCATCCTTGGAGAGGTTGAAGAGCTTGCGAATCTTCGAAGCCCTCTTGGGACCACGCATCCTAGGTTTCTCGACATCGGTCAAACCTGGGAGATCGTTGTCACCCTTTTTCACAATCACCAAATTCAAAACAGAGAGGTCAGGGCTTACGATGCACCCTCGAACGGACTTCCTCCTTCGCTCTCCGTTTCTCCTTCCGTACCCTCGGAAACACGGGGTACCTATTTTTTTATTTTAAAACACATGGAGTTGTCAAAAGTGAAAAATAAAATCGGAAACTAAAATAAAAGGGTTGAAATTATAGGAACCTCGGTGGAGCAAGAGCCTGACACGGCCAGGTGTCAAGACACCCTGCTTCATGGGGAAGCCTTGCTTGTCGCACCCTCCCATAATCTTGAAAACGTAGCCCTTGAATTCCTGAAATAATTAATTAATTGAAATTATGTTATTTCAAGTATAATAGTTGAGAATATTAAATAATTGACTTTCTGGGAGACGAGCATACCTCACCCAATGCATCTCCGTTGACTTCCTGGGAGATCCTCTTGTCCCAGAACACCCGACTGAAATTGAAAGAAGCAACGAATATATCATAAGAAATGTTATGTTCTCATTATCTAGGTATATTAGATGCAATAGACTGATTAATGGTAATTAAAAGACTCGGGTTTTCGGGTTCTTCGGGCTTCTGGTTTTCGGTTTCTAAAATATCGAACAACAGAGTAGATGAATGATCGATCCTTTTGGAAGCAAGAATATAATTTAGTAGACGAACATATGTCTTACATATTCAAATGCTATGAATGAATTGAGGTGAAATCAATTAACATAGAAATAATCCAATTTTACAAAATTCAAGTGTAAGAAAAAAAAAAAAACATCATCAAATAGACCAGCACAGTTCGATTTTTACACTGCATTAATCCATTACAAACGATAATCGACATGTAAAGTAAATATTCAACCATAGCAGATAGAAATGAATTACCCAGAACGATCGAACACTATTTCACGAATAATCAAACAGCAGATGAATCAATTTCAAAAAAAAAAATTATTAACTAAAAACGAAAGAAGATTATACATACAGTTTCAGGTCATCGTCAATTTCGAGCTTCTTTTGACAGCCGGTGGTCGGATTAGCAATGTTGAACTGCAAAAAACAAACAAAAACCAAAATCAATCAGATAAATTTGTGCATATAATAAATCAGAACATTTTACAAATTCCATGGTTGTTAGTGAGTGACAATTACCTTCATCTTCTTCGAAGTGGAGGACCGAACACAGGCCGCTCTTTGCTAGGGTTTGGACGTCCAACTGAGGTTAGAAGAATTCTCTGCAGCGTAATTAATATATATGTGTTACGGACCGGGCCTGGTTTTGTTTTGGGCCGGACTTACTAGCCTGGCTAAGATCAATTTTATACTTTATACGTATGAATTTTATATTTTATAAATATAAAAAGATCAATTTTAAATAAATAAAAATGAGTAAGAGAAAATACTAGGGAACGTTGCATACTTTCTATCAAACATAAAATGTTACATACTTTCTATAAAATAATTTATAGCATTAATATTGTATTCTAGAAATGTATTCCCAATAGTAGGATTAAATTGACACTCATGATTTATCTTGAAGGCGGAGGTTGCACTCTTCATTTAGACCCTATAAAAAGAAAACAAGTTTGGTAAAATTAATTTAAATTAAAAAATTAATTCAATCAAAATCAACTACTATACAATCAAGAGTTGGTGTGTTATCAATATTATGAGTGCCGGGATGAAATCATAAAAAAATAATCGTAAATCGAAATTTTGGAAATTGAAATGAAAAAAAACTTTTGCCTAATTTCGGATATGAATTTCATTTTTTTATCCAGCTACAATATAAAATACATAATAATATTGATATTATAAATATAAATTTTGGGTGAGAAAATCGAAAAATCAAAACTAGATTGGAATAATAATGTATGTACACGGTCTGGTCATTGGGCCTGAAAACCTAAATCTTAGATTACGAAACAGGGCCCATTTTTTTTACTGCAGCGCAATAAACATTAGAAAACTCGGCAAAAGCGCAATAAACATTAGAAAACTCCCTGGTCGCACGAAGATCAACTGTGATACGCCACCGCAAAGTCACCAACCATGCCTACCGTTAGCGTTGGCAGAGATCGCCTCTTCAAAGCATTGGGCCGCACCTACAGTTAGTTACCTACAGTTAGTTGATTGATTGATTGATTGATTGTTTGTTTGTTGGTTGAGGGAAAAAAAAAAGAAAAAAAATGGCGCTTTCGTTGATATCCCGGCGATCGAGTTATCGTAATTGGATATCTAATACAGCACAAAAAAAAGCATCAGCATATGGTGTGGAGCCATGGCTGATGATTAAAGACGGTTGCGGTGAAGAAGATGGGGTTGACATGTTTTACAGCGTAGCTGAAAATCAAGGTTTACGTGTGAGAGGAGAAGATGGTGCAGTGGTCGGATCTTCCCACGGGTGGGTAGCTTTGTGCAAGTGGCAGCGCGTGAGAGAAGGCTGCTTTCGTATGTTTCTCCACAATCCTCTCTTTCGTCATTGCGTAAATCTTCCCCGAGTTAAAACATTGTCCAATCCCAATCCCAATCCCAATCCCAATCCCAATCCCAAAATAATATCATCTAAACATGAATTGTACAAACCGAGAAAGGTAATCCTATCAAATGATCAAGCCGGATGGAACAAGAGCTGTCGTGCGATTATGTCATACGGTCCACAAGACAGGCTGGCATACTGCTGCCCGGACTTCAGTAAGAAGTGGATTCACATCGGTGTCAATTACAAGTACGATGATTTTGTGTATTCCAGCAAGCGAGAGAAATTGTTCTGCGTCACCAAGTTTGGCATGTTAGAGAGTTGGGATCTCGAGGACAGGTTTTCTCCTAAAATGAATTGGAATTGGAAGATGACGAGGATGACCGACGATGAAGAAGAGAAGAAATACCTAGTGTTTGCTGAGTTGTCCAATCGGCTTTTTCTTGTGCGGCACAATGCAATTGGTTTTGATGTCGACGAAATAATCGAGACGGAAGGAGAGTTGAGGCGCATGGATGGTACATTGGATGGTATGACGTTCTTCATCGGTTCTACGGGACACGGATTCGTCGTTGAAGGAATGGATCATCACCAAATGAAAAAGATGAATCTTTTGCCGGATTCTATCTATTTCACGGACACAAAGGAACTCGTCAATCCGGATAATAAGTGTAAATTGCCGTATGGATGCATCTTTAATTACAAAAACAAGACATTCTCACCTTGCTACTATCTACCTTATGATATCCAAACCCCCCCTCCGCCGCAACAACCAGTTTGGTTTACCCCATGTCTAGTTATGCCCCGTCATCATTAGAGTGTTATTTTGATTTATGTTGCCTTGATAATCTCTGTATTCAGCCATGCTTCGATTTGTACAATCAGTAAGTTATTGGATTTGGGATTATATATTGCATTTTCTCAGTTGTCAGTCCCATATAATTGATGGAGATTCTGTACCAGTTTATTAGATTGTTAGTATCGAGGATGCTTGGGTTCGGAGAAATTTCTTAATATGATAATGCTTGTCGAAAACCCACAGTTAGTCACTATGACTTCTCTTTGTGCATGTATAACTCCTTCCGATAAGCCGTATCTGATTTTTTGTTTTTTTTCCCCTTATTTTCGCTGCCTATAGCCGAAGAAGAGTTCGACGATTTATGCTTCAAGTTCGGCATTGAGCTCGATGATGTGGTATGTGAAAATTAGTATTTAGATGAATTAATTTGGGACAGACTGGAGTTTGATTTTTTGGAACATCAATTTTCAAGAAATCTACATGTTCATAAAGATTTGTGAAACTCAGAATTTTGGGATTTTGAGAAAATTTTCTTTGGATTAATGTGAAACCAGACAACAGAAAAGGCCATTTTACGAAAAGAGAAGCATTTAGATGAGGAAAAGCCATCTGAAGATGAGGAAGTGATTTATAAAATTGAAGTTCCAGCCAACAGGTAATTCGTTCACTACTTAATATAAATAATCATTTATCCATATGTCGCAAGCTGATGTTAGGTTTGATCGGAATGAGTTACTTTACAATTGTTGGAACTTGGAAAGAAGGCTCATAGTTTGTAAAAGTGGAATAAGTTACTAGATTTTAATAATTAGAATCAGGAGATTTTACCTAGTCTGAAATGTGGTGAATGGGTTGTCTTTTACTGGACTTAAAAATTATAATTGCAGATATGATTTGCTTTGTCTCGAGGGGTTGGCTCAAGCTCTGCGCATATTTGAAGGGCTTGATCCAATACCTACCTATAGTTTGGCAAACATCAGTCAGGAATCTATGCTCAAAATGCATGTTAAATCAGAGGTTTGCACTGCCGAAACCTAGCTGGTGGTATCATCAACTTAGATGCTTATTTTTCCGTTGCTCTAATAGTGGTTTCTCTCACTGCAGACATCAAAGATTCGCCCATATGTCGTGTGTGCTGTTTTAAGAGGTGTTACATTTGATGAAGCTCGATATAATAGCTTCATTGATCTTCAAGATCGGCTTCATCAGAATATCTGCCGGTATTTTTCTGGTTTAATTATAGACTACCTCTTAAATAATTTTTGTCTCTGAGTAAGAATTCATCTTACTAATAATTAGTAATTTATGAAACATCAAGGAAAGTCGTATGGTAAGTTAATTCCATTGAGTGGCTATATTATCGTAGTATTTGAACTTTTTTGTTCATTGCTCCTTTTGGTTTATTTCATTATGCTTGTATCTATGTAGGCGAAGAACCCTTGTTGCTATTGGCACACATGATCTGGATACGATAGAAGGCCCTTTCACATACGAGGTATAGTCCGATGCTTCTTTTTGTTTGTATTATAATTTCAAACACGATATGCAGTTTAAACTTTCCGTTCCCAGTGTTTCTATTACCACATGAAATCAATTTAAGAACCTGGTTTCCAAGCAGAATAATGTTTCTCTTGTTTTCAGCTCATACTATTCTATTCCAAACCTCCAATATATTTTGATTTGAAAGTAATATTAATAAATTTATGCTGTGTAATTTCCAGGCATTACCACCACCGGAGATAAACTTTATTCCACTGAAACAGGTACCCAAACTTTTATGTTTAGGCCTTTTCTGTAGCCTCTATTTGAGATTGATTCGGTGCTACTATAGGAGTCAACTTCACAATAAGTTTCTCAACTAAAATGTAGTGATGCTGCAAGCAGTTTCTTGTTGCTATGACTAAAACTAATGGCACTATATAGTGTTTGGTATGCACATTTTTCTAACACTTCATACAAGCTTAAATGAAAATGCATCACTTAAAATCTGTCTGTCGAAGAGCCTAAGACTATAGGTGTTATCTTGTGTCTTGTTCATCAACTTTTTACCCAATATCATAAACTTATATTTACAATATCATGCTGAACTTTTGAAATCTGCTATTTTTCAGACGAAGAACTTCAGAGCTGATGAACTAATGCAATTTTACAAGGTGAGTCCTACAATTGATTATACTTCATATGGTTCTTTTTCCTAATTGCCATAAAATTCCTGTCATGTACAGTTGGATCCATTTGTTTATCACTTAATTGTATATGCATTTATTGCTGATATTTTGTGATATATATATAACGATAATTTCGTAACTTTGTTTTGCAGTCAGATATGAAATTGAAGAAATTCTTGCATATAATTGAGAATTCGCCGGTTTTCCCAGTCATATATGATCGTAGCAGGTAGTATATTTTTTTTTCTGAAATCATAAGTTCTGTTATTGATCTTCACTTTGTCCTAGACTTATACATTACTTTCACCTTAAATATGACCAGGTATTCTCCTGCTCCAGAAAGTCTTATGTCTATGATACCATGGCTTATCATGTTTTCAGATATTGCTAGTGTTATGCTTGATATAACATTGATAATCTTACAAAACCTATGCATTTTTCTGCAGAACTGTTTTGTCATTGCCTCCAATTATTAATGGTGCACATTCCGCCATTAGTTTGAAGACAAAGAATGTCTTCATTGAATGCACTGCCACAGATTTGACAAAAGCCAATATTGTTTTAAACACAATGGTAACAAGGAGAATAGAACCAGTGTTCTAATTCTTGGAATGTGTTTTTTCTTGTTACTCATTGTTTGCGTGTTTGCCCATTTGTTATGCAGGTAACCATGTTTTCAGTGTATTGTGAAAGGAAGTTTGAGGTGGAGCCTGTTGAAGTCATATACGATGATGGAAAATCATACATTTCCCCTGATCTGTCTCTTTACCAAATGATGGTGATGGTGAACTTATCTTACATCAGCAGTACAATTGGAGTCTCTCTGCCAGCCCACGAGGTATCATATTCTGTGTCTTGATTATTGTCAATTATAGCCTTTCAAGTTGATGTCTGTGAGTTTCTCCTTTCATCTGCATGGCATCAAGGTATACCAACTGTTGCTCATTATTGTTATATACTTTTCAAGAAGTGATATGATAATATGAACTTAAAATTGTAATATGATACCTCAAGGCTGCATCACTACTTTTGGTGTCTCACTTGGATAAGTTCTTGTGCGCAATACTCTTGCCAGGTGTGGTTTACGTACTCCTGGGCACTCGCACCATAACATTGATAACTAGATTGTGAATTGAATTGCAGGTTGCTCGCTCGTTGAATAAAATGCAACTGCACGCAAAGCACTCTGTACTGGAAAATAATGAAACTGGTTTCACTATATCTGTTCCTCCGACAAGAAGTGACATTCTTCATCCTATTGATGTGGCTGAGGTACTGGCTTTGATGTCTTTTTATGTCACAGAAGGTTGTCTTTATTGGCCTGTTTTTGTACTGATGCGCAGAAGTATTCTCTTTACCCCCACTTCTCTAGGATTTCGGAATTTCTTATGGCTACAATGAAATCCCAAAAAAAAAATTTCCATCCGTGAAGCCACAGATATTGAATCAGTTCACTGATCTTATTAAAGAGGAGGTAGGTATTGTAGAACCTTATGCATTTCTTGGTTTTGCTGTTCATTTACAGTCTTGATTTTAATCTGAAATTGTATTTTTGCCTTTCAGATTGCCATGGCTGGCTATACGGAGGTCTTATTATTTATACTATGTTCATACAAAGAAAATTTCACCATGCTTAACCGGAAGGATGACAAGTCAACTGCAGTAATAAATGGAAATCCTCGTACTGCAGAGTTTGAGGTTTGGTTAATCTCATTTTGGAACTGCTTTTCTCTTTTTCTTTATTTTCATAGATTCCATCTTATGATAATCTTATTTTAACTTTTGCAGGTTTCTCGCACAAGCCTTATGAACGGAATATTGAAAAGTATTGGGCATAATAAAGACCACCCAAAACCAATTAAAGTATGAGAACATTTACTATTCTTGCTGTTATGGGTGTAATTGGTAGATGTTTTTGTATAATCATTGCAGACTATAAATTGATGTTTTGCTAAACCAATTTAAGATATCAGAAAATTTAATATGCTTGTTGTTTTGTATATAATTAGCAGAAGTCTATGACTTAAAATCACAGACCTCTGTCGCCCGGATTGGCCAAAAATCCGATGAATAAGAATTCGCTGTTGACTTGTTTATGTTATAAGCATGGAAGTAAAGGTCTTCTTAGCTTTGAGTAGGAAATTGAAAAGCCAGTATAGATTTTTCAATTACTGACTATGTTAAGTACTAATTACTTCGTAAGAGAAGTTTTCCTCTGCCCTTTCTTTTACATATTAGCAATCACATAAATTTGAAGGGACTATACTATTGCAATTGATCTCACATTTGCCATCATGTCTTGTCTGAAAATAAAGTGCATATCATATCAAGAAGTTGGCGTCTGATACTGTGTCTTTCTTGCATGGCTAATAGTCAGCTCATCCTCAGTTTGTGAAACTGTCTCATTTGTTAGTATACGTCTCTGAGAAAAAAATACTTGATGTTATCATGTGGTTTGGAAATGTTGCCCTGTTGTACCTTGTCTTTCTGCATTACCTCAGTTCTTCAATTCACATTCAGTGTTAACTATATATCCATTTTCTTTGGATTTAGATCTTTGAAGTGGGTGATGTGGTGCTATTAGATGAGACGAAAGATGTTGGTGCATCAAATCGTCGCCATCTTGCAGCTGTATACTGTGGAGTTGCCTCCGGATTTGAGGTACATATTTTTAACTTTTTAATTCACCTAGACAACTCATTTACAATATGCTTTTATTGCATGTAGTTTTAAGATAGGTCCTATGTGATGGTCTGCATGTTACATCTTTGTAAAGATTTCAACATCTCGAATTTGGTCTATAAAAAATAGCTGTTGTTTCATTCGATTTCAATTAAAAAGACTTGGGTGTTTAACATGAAGTAATTGTGATTGATATTGTTGTTTTTTCAGCTGATACACGGTCTTGTGGATAGAGTAATGGAAGTGACTGGAAATCCATTTGTATCACCTGGGGATAAAACAGGCTACTACATACTCAGTTCAAATGTACGTTTTATATTTTAGCTTTTGAAAGCGAACTGTATTGTATCATCACTGTATGCATGTCTGCAGGAGCCCGAGTTTCTTCCAGGTAGACAAGCAAGCATCATATACAAAGGAAAGCAAGTTGGCACTTTTGGAATCGTGCACCCACAGGTAGCCATATCAACTCTTTTTTTTTTTTTTGTGATTTTCAGTTTATAATTTACTCCTTTGGGTTGGTTACTCACCATACATATGTTATATATCATGTTTGTGATCTCAGGTGTTGGATAATTTTGGCATTCCAGACCCATGCTCCTATATGGAAGTCGACATCGAGAGTTTCTTGTGAAAACACCAAAAACCCCCCCTATTCATTCATCTAGAGAAAAATACCATTTAAAATTCCTACTCCCGTCCTCTTTTGTCGTATTTAATCTCAGTTATTTATTTGAATGAAGAAAGTAAATACCATACAAATCTTGTTTCTGCTTTGCTTTAGCACTTGGATGTGAACAATAGTTTTTTTCTCCTCTTTTCCAAATATTCACTGTTCGGGACACAAAGAATACCCCTCTATATATATACATACACAAGTCTGAATACTCGTCACGACATTCTTAACTATGATTGATCTTTATGAAATACTTTGGAATGTTCTCAGTATAGAATCTCAAACTACATATACAGATACCTCGCAGAAATATCAAAATTCTATAATAACAATATATAATAACAATATACAATTTTGGTGTCACCCCTAAAACATCCATCCCATTAGTATGGGGGGCAACAAATGAACTCAACACAATCAGCCATAGACAGCTTCATCAACATTCAACATCAACAACCTGGAAGAGACTGAGCCGAAGCAAATGGTGAAAAGCTTGTTGCTGACTCATTATGGTGCAGTGCGTTATGCTGACGACTCGAAGATCCAACATAACTATACGAGGAACCATCGCTTGGCCTTGGAATATACGCTGACATATATCTCGTATTGAGGCCGAGCGAATTTGGTGAAACTACATACGCACCGTCAGATCTTTGGGAAGACATATTCCTCAAATCCACAGAGCTTCGAGTTGTACTCACATTATTAGCCTGAAGAGAAGCAGAATTGTGGTTATAAGATGATTCCCCAATTTGTAAGGCTGATGAAGAAACTGACAGCAATGGTGTCGATTCCGATGCTGCCACTTCACCGTTACTTGTTCTTGCATCACGTTTGCAGACAGGACAGAATGTTCTCCATGATGTCAGCCATGTATCAACGCACATAGCATGAAATTCTGTCAAAATATAACATAATATTTACTCATAACATAACGAATATTTTCTTGATTATAAGCATTTGTTGTAAGAGAAGGCTTTTACTGTGACGGCATGGCAGAATTCTGAGCTTGTCTCCAACATCATAGTCTTCAAGACATATAGCGCATGTTTGTGAAGTACAATTATCCTCCAAAACAGCTGTGAAGATTAGGCTAGGCATTGCTTTCACCAAACGGCTGCTTATCCCATGAAATTCTCTCACTCGTGGGCCCCGTGGGCGACCTCGTCTAATCCTGTGCCTCCGCACAAAGAAACAGGTACCTAAAACAGCTGACATAGCAAGTAAAGAAATGAATGATATAGCCATGATAGACCATGCCGAGTTTTCAAAGCTTGGGGCTATCCATATCTCTGCATCAGCAGCACCTGCATATTTTGCCAGTGTTCGACCAGAAGCTCTCGAAACAAACGCTGCGTTTATCTTTATACCAGCAGGATTACCAGCCACTGCATTTTCAAACTGTCGAATGTTAATGTAAGGCTTCTAAAGCTGACTTGCATGACACTCTGTTTCAAACATAAATGCTTAAAAGAGAAGATCAAATCTGTAAACTGTAATTGCACAAAGTGGGTTGCAGGATAAAGACAATTACTTGCAACTAAATCACCGTTTTCATTGTCATAGACAATGGCTGCTTTGAATCCTGCAGTTTGGGCTCTTCTAACTTTAGTCTCAAAGCTACACCCTCCTCTGATTATCAACACAAAGGGATATCTTGTGTCGTTAATATTTGGATTTATTTTATTAGTCAAGGACGAGCATGCATCCAATGGTTCTGCAACATGTAATGTTCCACATTTTCCAGACGCATTCACTGATGGTGCTGAAACCACAACAGACTATTATCACTAATTGCTCATGAACACAAACCGACACACAATATTTGCTCCATAACTGTTATCTTATTATTAAGGGACAACTCTCAGAAGATATAGGCGTGCACACACACACACACACACAAACACCATTAAATTGATTACTAAGACAGCATAAAAAGAGTGAAATGAATCCGAGCTGTAACTTCCGATCCATATGTAATTTCTTACATTGTTGTATTCAGAAACTAATAAGCTAAATAAAAAAAAATCCTCAAGAAAAAATTAATCCAGGCAACTCAATCACTCCAATTAGCTAGTCCACTTTCTAGCTAAATTTTCCTTCATAGATAAAGAAAAGCCTAAACTAGCATAGATTACTTAAGTAAGCAACTCTCGACAAACAGAGTAATTATTAGATCAAATTAAACCAAAATAATAAAAAGGGCCAAAAAAGAAAAGGTACGATTCAGTCCAGCAATTCAAAGACCCATCTGGATTAAAATCTGTTCGCAAATAAAAAATTCGTTCAGCACCAACAGATAAAGAAGAACAAATCAAACTTACCAAAATTAGCTTCAATGTCTTGGAAAGATAAAGTAACATTGTTCCCAATCAAAACGACAGTGCCAGAAACTGCAAAAGCACACATTATTAACCAGAAATTGAAGCACAAAAACACCCACAAATTACCCATTTCTTTCCGACCCTCAAGATCTCAATTTCCCCAACAATAGAAAATTATTTCCAACTCTTTCTTCTTCTTCTAAATCTACACCCACCGCGGTTTCAATCAATTATAAAAGTGAAACATCAGCTTCCATAGTGCAGTGTAATAACGTGATTCTTTTAGGGATTTTGCGAAACAAATTCGTTTAGGGGTCGTCAGTCGTATCATATTAGGAAGTCGAAATCTTTAACAATCAAAATTGTAATTTGCTATTTATAGAAACTTTAGCTTTTCTTTCTTTTTTATTTTGCAATAATAATTAATAATCTTGCATGGATATATACGAGTCCAAAAAATAATAAAAAGGAATGCATTTCGAATTGACTAATTTGACCCCGAGGTTTCTTTATCCATTATAGCCCACATGCTGCTGGTACGAGACATCTGAATCAGTCGGTAGTCAATTTTAATAATTGCTTATTATAATAATAATAATAATAATAATAATCATAATTATTCAATCAGGTATCACGTGGGTAGAGAAAATAAATGGCCATCTGAGAGTGTCTGTATGAATTATGATCGTGTGTGCTGGAAACAATTGTAATAATAATCCTATATATTGTTTCAAGGGCAAACCACGCTTTTCTCTTCCTCACCTCCAACTTGTCTGATTATAAACAAACAAAAGCAATGGATATGAAAAAGAAAAAGATAAGAGAGACACTCTGACTCAGCACATTCCAATTTTCCTAGAATGTTGGATAAGAATTTCAGATATCTCACTCATGTACCAGCAACTACAAATATATACCCTCCAGGCTCCAACTAAACCAAAACCATTAATATTTATTACATAGATACGGCCAAAATTAAAATCATAAGTATACGATAAGTCGAGGAATAACAAAAGCATTATTCGGGACTGTCAAAATATTCAAGTCTGGATGGAGCCTATAAAATTACAACAATGTGAAAAAGGGTAATTGGCCAACGATCTACTCTGCAACTAAAAACATCAACACCGAGGCCGCATAGCTGATAAAGAAGAGTTGCTGCATTTGCATTTCAGCACAAGATCCTTAAGAACAACAAATGGCTATACAACATCAATGTTTTGCAGAGTTTGAGGTGGTGATTATGAAAACCTGGGCCCTGCTGTAACTATAGAAATAATAAATAAGTATAACTGCTTTTGTGCTTGTAAGTTGTAACTCACAAAATGATGATTTCATTTGCACAGCTTCAATTAAATAAAAATATTTTGTCTGAATATTAGCTTTACCTTCAAGTACGAATCCACATGGGTTCTATAGAGAATAACTTCTCATTTCGGGTTTGAGCTGCTGCTGCTGCCCCTAGAGGAGGTGCGTGTACAGTTATTGGAAGTACCCACTCACATTTGTCCCTTCCCTCTATCAGAAGAGGATGATCAAACCTGATAGTATAGGAATACATGCATTCAGAAAACAAACAACTGACAATAGTACTTGCGAAACAGTTAAGGATAATGCATGATGATGTAAAAGAGGATAACACATTGATACGAATGTCGTCAATTAGCAGCTCCCCACATGTAAGTCAACTAGTACAAACTTTAAGCTGGGGAAAAATAAGTAGAAAGAAAATAGTGATTCCAGTCAGCAATTTTTACCTTGTCCAGTCAACATTCTTAGGAGTTGTAAGAAATTCAAATCTAAGAGCCCATTGCACAGAGACATAAGAGGTAGAAAATGTCATAGGCCCATCCATTGGAATGGAAAAGAGAAAGCTTGTTTGGACTAAATCTGCCACAACCTCATGGTGATCGCTATGAATCTGCACAAGCAAACAAGGGTAAACTATTTTGGTTTCAATTCTTATGATATGTGCCCAAGGATTAAACAAGACACATAAAGATGAGCTAAGCATGCAGCTATTATCTGAAAAGCAACCTTGGTTATAGTCGGGGAATGCCTTCGAGAAGGATGGACAAAACGTCTATTTATACTCTCCTTCGCCTCCAAAGTTATTGACACCTGAAGACACCAAGAACCCAGTCAGCTTCCTAATTATAGAAATATTAAGATATGATAATGAATGTTCACAACTTAAAGATGTGATTGCATGCCCCAGTACCTCAAGGCATCTCCTGGACCCCTTTTCATGGAAGAATGTTAGGGTTCCACCTATCTGTCAATAGGAAAAAGGAAATAATGTTAACTAAGGAATGAAGGAAAAGATACCTCGCACTAATTATAATGGTTTACCATATCACTGAAGTAGTAAGTAGAGTCAGAGTTCTTTGGTGAAAATCTTAGTAAAACTTGGTCATCCAGTCTGATATTGTATGATCTCCCTCTAATAACCCCTTCTGCTGCAGAAAATGTTGGCACAAAATTAGTCATTAATGAAGTAAAACCAATACAGTAAGTAAATGAAACAATATAAGAATGCCAAGAACATAGTTACATGCTACAGATTGCATAGATTTAGAGGCAGATGGACTTCTCGACTCATCATCTGCTGACAGGGCTTTCATATGTTTTGGTGGTTGACTTGGAGACCCTACAGTGGGAGGCCTGTCTGGAGATTGTTAAGGAAAATACAACTGTAAGAAACACTATACTGTCATCACCTCAAAGTGTAAATAAAACAGAAGCCACCTACTCCAGAGAATATGCTTTTATTCGGCAGCAGTTCAAATTTGATGCATGCGGTCAAACTAGAAAATGTAGTAGTAATCTTTCACAAGCGTCAAAACATTGCAATGAGCATTGAAACTAAAAAAGTATTTTACCGCCAGTGGGATCATTTAAAACCTCAGTTACAGAGAGCTGAGGAAGAGCCATGCTTGAGGATATGCTAGGGCGTCCTTGGGCATATAGAGAACCTCTAGTTGAAGACCTTGCTGAAAATGACTGCAAGGATAATGAACTTCCAAAAGTTTTATTTATATCTTCCTTCATGGGGTTGTAGGAAGAAACAGATAAGATATCATCTCGTGAACTTTCATACCCTTCCTCAACTTCATCGAAAGCGTCATTCACTTTAGCCTACAAAAAACAATATAATTCATAATCACAACTTTGGTATTGTGGTCAACTCCATTTCCAAGGATAAATAGGAGAGAACGGAAATAATATGTGAAGTAGCTAATAAAGTACAGAAGTAGCTAAAGGGGACAGAGTTTTACCCACTCGGAATCAGTATCCATTTCTTTCCAGTACACATCCAAGAGAACAGTTGTCAAAGGAACTATTCCTGAGAATATCATATTAGGAGCACCGTAAATAGCAAGATACTTAATAAAGAAAGCCATAAAACTAGCATCAATGGGAGTAGAAATTATATCTCAATCAAGCAAAAGAGAGCAGTTTCACCAACAACAAAAAAAGTTCATGCCAGAAAACATTTACCATCACTGCGACCTTCATCACCAAGCAGGCCATTGTTTTTCTGAGTAACCCATATCTGCAGCGGTATTCGTGCTTCCTGTGGGGTTTAAAGGTCATCAAAATTTGGTCATAGTATTTTTAGAATTGGCAGGCATACAGACAATTAATGATAGATACGAATCAGAAGAAATCAAAATCTGAAAAACTAATATAAACATTCACGAAAGGATCAAAGGTCCCGTTAGTATCCTCATGAGAACATTATAGAACAGAGGACTACATGGAGATTGAGAAATCAATTGTCTATGAATCTGTGATGATGAGAAAACAAATAGCAACAACCAAGAAAAAGAAATCAGAGAGAGCAAATGAGGAAAAAGGAACATAATAATTTGGTTTTCTTAATTCTAAGTTCTTCAACTTGAGCAGTTTTAGTAAGGATAAAAAGGAAACAAATCATCTGATGAATGAAGCATATAAGATAATATCCAAGTAGTATTGTGCACGAATTGGACGACAGAAACTAATATACAGGACTAATTCCGGCCTGATGCCTGATGATAACTGAGCAATATTTAATGGAATTACATGAGAAATAACCAATGACGTGGTTCTTGAAAAGCAAGGGGCAGTAAAACTAACCAATGCAGAGAATTCCTGTACTGACTCTCCTAGAGAATGTCCCTTTTCCAAAATCAGAAACTGTCCAGATAGCGTAGCCCTGCAATAGTAAAGATAACGGATAGTTGTGCCTCGGTATGATGGAGGTATAGAGTCTGGTAGAAGGGCCCGCACCACATCTACAAGTAAACAAAATTTTAAATTCAATACAAATTTAAATATGTCAATAGAAATTAGAAGTAAAAGCAAGCTGAATTTGTAAATATAAGAAAGGGATACTGGGCTTACATGTTTTGGTGGCCCCGCTGGAAATAATTTGATTTGAGACTATAGTTGAAGTGGAGCAATCCATGAATACATACTCACCTGAGGAGAATGAGATCATAAGTTTATACTTGAGCAACCATTAAGAAGAAAGATATAATTGTACTCGATGCAGTAATTTTCTCTCTCATTTTTACTATGCCTCTTTGTATTCATGCAATTCTACTAAAACCAGTGGTTTTCATTACCCTCTTTTTTCCTTATGTACTTTTATACATGTAGCTTCATTCGAAAAAAATAGTTCATCTCATTCAAAACAGAAAAAGAGATTCAGCAAACAGTTCAAGATGTACTCATAAATTGAATAAGAAAGACCACATTAAGAATCAATATTCATCTTAAGGTACTTGGGCACGAGATTAAAGATACTTACAAGTGACCACATTAAAATTGTATATACTTTTGTTGACATGGTTCGTGAATCAAGACGAGTAACTGCCTATTTTTCTGTGTTTGATATCAATTTTGTTTTTTTGTTCCATGCATATCGTTTTAGCTAAACAGGAAGCTCTCAACAAACACATACATCTTATTCATCAAAGACCTCATTGAGGGAAAAAAAAAAAAAAAAAGAAAAAAAAAGAAAAATAGAAAGAAAAAGAAGTACCTCGGCGCTGTTTAGGATCAGGAGTAGGCTTAGGAGTAGTGAACCACTGAGTATCCAATTTCTCGATCCCTTTACATTCAAAGCAAAGCCTTTCGATTAAAAGAGAAGAAAGATGTGTTGGATTCTTAATCTCAATAGTAAGGGTGATCAGATCGCCCGGTCTGTACACTTGTCTGTCGGATTCCAGTTTCAGGTGCGGCGGGTCAGGATTAGCGCCGGCGCTGAGGGAGGTGGAGGGTGCAGAGGCGAGGCCAAAAAATGAGAATCTGCCGGAGGATTTACCGGGTTGCGGCATTTCGGGGCAAATTCGAGATATTCAGTCAACAATGCATTGGGGATTGTTTGAATTACAAGAAGAAATTGACAGTGTGTGTGTGTGTGGGTGGGTTGAAGAACAAGATTTAACTGGAAATTGTGAAATTTCCAAGGGAAAATGCGCAACAAATTACTCAAATAAATCGCTTTTTCTGTCAAAATAATTTGAAGGACTAATCACCTAACCGAAAATATACTTGTGTATTTTTTATAATTATTGTAATATCTTTTACTCATTAAATAACCAAGTATAATGAAAAAGAAATGGTGAATAAAACATGAAGTAATACGTCTAACTATAAATAATATGTATATTTAAATCAATCTTCGTTTAAAGAATTGGTATTGGTATATAACGTTATTATTAGATCAAAGTCCATGTTTTGAACCATGCACCTCTCAATTTTTTTTTTTTCCATTTGTAACAGCATTTGAATTTTAAGAAAAATAAAGAAATAATAGCATATATTAATTCTTTATATATATATATATATGATTATATGTACGAAAAAATGGGAGCAAGCAAATAGAAAAGCAAGTGGTATGTGTAACCGTTGATGTTGATCTCCAAATTCCAAGACAATGTTAATTTGAGTGGATGAATAATCCAATGCAGTGAAACAAACAGAGTGCACTTTCTTTCTATTTCAGATAAACAATTGATCCTCAAGTCTAACAGGTTTGAAATATGAGGGCACATACATACTTAAAGAGTCCTCAGATAAAACATTAGTTACACATCTGCAGACGAGGGCTGGTTCAATCCGGACTCCACCAACAGTTTGTTAAGGTTATCGGATGGGCAAATCCGGAACTTCACATTCCCAGAAGACAGAAATATCTCTGCCAGTTCACGCTTTTCGGAATTAATGCTCGTGCTATCCATAGTTTTGCTAAGCACTTTTATCCCAGCCCGCGAGTAGAAACGAGACTCCAAGCCCACCAAACTGTGTGTAGCCTTGTTTGGTGTTGCATAATGATTGGACCAGTTGTTCAATAGGGATTGCCTCTTCTGGGGGCATGAGAGTCTTGATGTGTTGATGAGTATGTTGGCATCAGACAAGATTCCAGCCACAGCACATGTCACGTGGTCATCGATCTTGTACATCTTCTCAACTGAGTTTGAGGTTGATGTTTCGAGTAGTTTTGATATGACTTTTCTTTTCACCGATTAATGCTACTCCATCGGCTATCGTATCGTTGAGACATCTTGGAATGACCAGAGTATCAAAGACCTGCATTGTTACAAACACGAGTTATAGCCACTCATACAGGCAAAGTCAAAGCAATTCACACGATACTTTCTTATGCTATATCAGTCGGACCACAAGTTAAGCATGCAATTATAAGCTGCAGACCTTGTTCTCGATCGCACCACTTATATTGAACCACATACATGGCATGTATCATCTAATAATCAGAGTTTTCTACTACTGTGGAGTTTGTCTAAGGTGAACAACGGAAGAAGAAACTGTGATTGTGCAAAATCATCAATCATCACATGCTCACAAAGTGCTTCAACCCTAAGAAACTTCATTACAGGGATAATGCTTTATCGAGTGGTGGCAAAAGAAAACGAAAATTAATTCGTTACTGAAGTCCCAACTAAAATTCCTGGTTAGCATGAACCCTATATCAGTCAATCCTTATGCTCACACTATGGCCTATGTCATTAGAACAAAGGAATTTGTCCTCCAAATAAATAAATAGAAGTTGTAGCAAAATATGAACTTGTCAGAAGTAAACAACATGTTCATCTGCAGCCACTAACTACAGTTACAATGTTTGTAAGGCAGACATTGGTGCCCTAAAAAGAATCAGAGTCCTGCAATCATATCAAAAAATCAATCCAATTCACCAAAACAAAAGAACAAATACAACCTATATTCTTTATCCCAGTTAACACCTTTTCCTACCTTACCAACAAAACAACAAAACAACAAAAACAAATTTTTTTTTTTTTTAGCAAAATAAGCGACAGTGAAATCCATCAAGATCGTAAACATTACAAGGCCCACTATCTGTAACTGGACTTTCAGTATGGCTAGTAACGGCCCATTTTATTTTAAATCTAGCCGATTTTTTTTTTTTTTAAATAATATTTTATTAAATTATGTCCATCAATCTTAAATAGCGTAATTATGTGGATTTATATAGGCCTAATGACTAGTATTTCTCTAATTGATCTTGTTTGGCTTGTGAAATCATATTCCGTACGGATCGAATTAGTTGCAGATGCGCATTATTCACTGCATGGCATGGGTCTGATTTTGTTGGTAAGCTAAAAATCTTGTGCATTTAATATTATTAGGTGAAATAGATCAAACCCTAATTTTCATGTTGACAGGAAAACGAAACTATGCATGGGGATAGTGGTTATTACGTAGCTATCCAACATACAGTTTACAAAGTTTAATTAATAATTCAAGTATTAGAATAATAATTAATAGAAAAATATAGAATTTCGACATCTTTTTAACTATATATATATATATGGTGATCTCGTTGAAAATTAATTAGAGCCTTTCACTGTTTTTCTAGGTACTTCATATATATATATGCAGTGTCATTGATTCTTCAACTATAACTAAGACGTAAAAATATATTATCATGAGTGAACATTATTAATTTCATCAACTTGCGATGGTCTAATTTGCAATCATGTATATTTCATTCCAATATGTGAGCTACTACCAGCTCGTCTGCATCATATATCGATCACTACTCAATTAAGGACTACGGCCAATTATTAATAGAATTTAGAAATCTGTCCAGAAAAAAATAAAATAAAAATAAAACCAAAGATGAAGAAGGATAAAAATAAAATAGGTGTGACTCATAAAGATGAAGAAGGTTAATCAATACTATAACAGTTGGTGTGGCTATGCATGAATTATGCAGCAAATAATTAATGATGAGTTAATAAGATATGTCTTCTATGTTGTAGCACTTAACCCAACCGTAAAATTATTGTGTACTTGTGCATTGAATTGTTATATCATCGACTGCGGAAGTGATAATATTTCATAATTATATTTATACCTTCTATAATATCGTGGACCTGATCGAATTAGTTTGAATCTTGTCAACTCATCAACATATCACTAACTTCTACATAATTCTGTCAATTAAACTAAATAGTGCCAATTATCGGACAAGACACACATAGAAGGAATGGTAGATACATATGCATGCTACTTAAAACTTTACATAGATGTCTGAAAAATTATTCAAGAAGCAACAAAGATCAAAATGGCCACTTAAATAAAAAAAATGATGATTATGCAAGTCAAAAAGTAGCAAAAAGAAAAAAAGAAAAGAATTTGTAGCTATTGAGAATTCATATTTCTTTAATTTAAAACACCATGATTCTTCATAAAGCTTTGTGTTCCCCTAAATTTGCAGCCTCACAATAACGGTCCTACGTACTAGTAATTATGGGCAGAGCCTCAAATTCAACTATGGTGGATTATTATTAATTGTTACCAACCCAAAATTTATTGATGTGTACGCCTTGAATTTTGAGAAATTGGCTTGAAAATTGAGAAAATTTTAAATTTTATTATTTGAGTGATCTGTCAAAACATTGAACTTTTAAAGTGACAGTACACAATTCAAATTCAAATGGAGATTATGAAGCTATCGTAAGAAAAAATCAAAAGCTAAGAGCTCCAGTAATTACTATATATTAATTAGTGCCTTAATTTAACTTTGAGGGAGACAAATTTATAAGCATTAATTAATTTTGAAGATTACAACAAAGAACTTTACCTAACTCGATTTAAAAAAAGAAAAGAAAAGAAAAGAAAAACCTTGTAAATTAAAACAGTAGGTCGGTCGATAGTATAATATGACACATAATTGAATATATTGGTACCACCCACCACATCCACATGGGTTTTTGTAATTTGTTATACAAACTTCCAAATAACGTCACATGATGTCCACAAAAGGATACATCCTATTTTCCCACTCTTAGATGCATTGCAATTGCTTATATGTACTACCTACGTACTGAATATATATAAATATATAAAATGAGTAGCTATAGGGGCAGCTTGGCAATTGTCCAACATCAATAAAAGTAGATCGATCATCCAGGAAATTAAAAAAAAGAGAGACATACACAATTACACATACATAAATATATATATATAATAATACATATTAAACCATGCACGGTGATCTTACAATCATGATTATGTTGATATTTAAACGTACGTACTGATCAGCTCCAACCTATATGGGGCCGGCCGGGGTAATTACTAATTATTATAAAGAAGCGTAAGGGTACTAATAATTAATTCATTAGCTAGGGCCGATCGAGGTCGGGTTTAATACGATATATATATATAATGAAGTTACTTAGCTGCTTTAATTAATTTGATGATGAAGACGACCGACCTAGGGAGCTAGGGAGAGAAACAATAGATTGTGAAACTGCACAACATGTAGTCGTCTTGCAAGAAGTTGTGGTAGTGTACATGTTTATCATCAATCCAATTCTCTCACCCAAACTCAAACTACTACTCGGCCTCCTTGTCGTCGTATTCATCTTCTTCCACCTATTATTATTATTATGATTAATTATACGGCCCCCGCCATGATCATCATCATCATCATCATCCTTTGAACATTCAACCATTGCTGCAATGAACGGATCCCTTTCAAATATATTAATGTGGTGCTGTTTCTTGGGAGAGGTCATGAATATCTCTTCTTGATGATGCAATTTTTTGGTGGAGTTTCCGGCTGGCGGCAAAGGGAGGAGATTCCCCCTGGCCGATGATGATGATGATGATGATGATGAAGATGAAGATTCCTTCTTCTTCTTCTTCTTGAAATTATTATTATTACCTGCAGCTTCTTGCAGGTGGTGGTGCTTGGGGATTCCAGGAATTTCTTCCCAAGAGAATGGAATTCCTCCAGCAGCTTTGAATCTGCAGGGAGATGAGTTGTTAATATTATTATTATTATATGGACTAGCTGAATAATAATTATTATTAAATGGAGGGATTAATTCATGATCATGATCTTCATTGAATGAGAATGATCCATTAGTGGATGAATTATCCCAATAATTATCATTCGATGGAGACGAAGACGATGAAAATGACGATGGGTTCCTCCGGTGATGAACCGGCGCCCGGCGGAATGTTGGTGTGGAGGAGGAGGAGTAAAGGGGGGTTTGATCTTTTGGGGGAATTTTTTGGGTAGAACCCATTATTGGAGATCAGCTAAGCCTATTTTGTATTATGAGGCTTTGCTTTTGTGCTCTTATATATAAAAGCAAGATTGGTAATTCTCTAACTTTCTTTTTTGTTTACTTGTAATGATGAAGATTAGAACTTTAAAGAAATTGATGGGAATTAGTAAATATATAGTTGAAGAAGTGGGAGAGTAGAGTAGTGTGAGGTGAGGTGGAGAGGAGACATTAATTTGCATTTTGTATACTATTATTCATGAGAGGGTAGTTGAAGAAGGTTAAGTTACCATTTATTTAAAACCTAATACTAATACACTAGAAAAACTCATTAATCATACATTTCTGGATCTTATTAGCAAAGAAAAGAAAATAATAATAAGATTATATATGTCGTTATGTATGAATATTGAGTGTGGGATGAAGAGATGGAGACAAAAGATAGATGTAAAGCAGTCCCGTGCTATTTCTTAATTAATTAATGTAATATATGGCCAAATGCTAACCTGCACGTGATCAACCTTTCTGTATTCCATATGCATGTTTGTTTCTCTTAATTGTTTTCTCCATTTTATATCTTATTATATATAATTATTTTCATTTTCACTATTAGGCTGGTGATCGATCAGTGGGTGTTTTTATCCTACATTTTGTTGTTTCAGTTATATTTTGATGTAACTTTATAACTACTATAGTTGATATAGACTCCAGTTCTCTTTCGTCTAAGCTTTGGTTTGTCTACTATACCCTATGTATGTTCGATCGGCTAATGTTGATCGATCATGTGAACAATTAAAGTACATTTTCTTGTTGATGTTGCAACATAACAATTAATAATAGTTCAATTGACAAATATATAAAAATTCTAAAACACTACCAAATTGCAATTGCTTGCTTATGTCGGTACGTAGTAGCATCACTACAAAGTAGAAACAATGTTGTTAATTTGTAATAAGAGTTGCCAATGTTTATGGGCTTTAAAATTGGATCAGAGTATGTAAGAAATTCCCATGTGATCAATGTTTGATTCCTTTCGGCCCACACAACTCATCTCTCCTCTGTTCTGTTTCCCTCATTTCATTTTTTCAGCAATTCATTTACATTATTAATAATAATCATATTATCTCTAATAAATAAAGTTGAAACGCATATTCATTAAACGTACGTACCAACATTTAATAACAAATTCCATTCACTCCAACTATAAATAATTCCCAAAATTACTACTAATAAACAAAAAAGAAAAGAAAAGAAAAGGAACAAGAGAATAAAATAAAAATGCAGGGAGGTGTATTTTGTTATGTTTTGGTACTTGTACTAATTTGGAACACAAACACAAACACAAAAGTGGATGCTTCTTCTATTCCTCCAACAGCTTTATCAGATTATAATGCCAAAAATTACGTAGTTTATATGTCAGAAAAACCACCCCAATACCTAAACCCCAAGGCTTATTACATCCATGTTCTCTCCTCTGTTCTTGGAAGGTTCTTTTTGCTCTCTCTCTTTTTTTTTCTATATTTTTTTTATAATTTTATATATAGTTTATAATTCATTATAGCAGCATTATGAAATATATGTTGGTGCATGTAAATTGAATTGAAGTGAGAAGGCAGCGGAGGATGCTCTGATATACTCGTACGGAGTCATATCTGGTTTTGCTGCTAAGCTGAATCCAGAACAAGCCTCACACCTCAAAGGTACTTAACAACCAAACAACATTTTCTCTATTCATCAAACTTTATATTACTATTTCAACAATATATATATTTTTTTAATCCATTTTATTCTATCTTACTAACACTTGCTTAAAAAAATATATACATTTTTGTAATAAATTGCAGATCAACCTGGGATTATTTATGTGAGTAGAGAAATTAAGTATCAGCCGGAGGAGAATCACGCTTCAACTGTTTGGCCAAATCTTCGAAATTAACTACCAACCTATTTTCTGGGAATATAATATTTAAATTTCAAATATGTTATTCACTATTGCAATTTTCAATTAATTGGCACCGTCTGTTTTACATTGCAGCCATTATAAATAACTACTTTTAAACATTTCCAATTATAAACATTATAAATAACTACATTTAAATTTATGTATCATTTTAAAAATAAAATAAAATAAGTAAATAAAAAGGATGCGTAAAAGTTGTGGCTCAAAACGAAGTCGTCCTAATAGAAAAATGGACAAAGACAAAGAATCGAGAAATTCAATAATAATTATCTGAAAAGTGAAAACACGATCCTTAAGGCATAAGAAAAGAAAAAGAAGCCAAGATTCGGCATCTTAATTCTCAAAACCTAAATCCTAAAAATCCCATCCCCTTTAAATTCCCATCAAAAAGCAAAAAGTATGCAGAAAAGCAATTACTTCCCAACAACTGTGCTACCCCAAATATTACTGCTCTTATTGTTCTTGATCCCATCGATGGCGACGGTTGATTCATCATCATCCGAGGCAAAAGTTCACATAGTTTACACCGAAAAACCAGAAGGCCAAGAGCCCGAAGACTATCACATCAGGACCCTTACCTCTGTTCTTGGCAGGTTAATTTTTCTTTTTATTACTATTTTTATAGAAAAAAGTTATAATCTCGAAATTTTGGAATATTTTAGAGGTAAACGTCGTGATCTGTGATATTTATGGGGTTATATTTGGTGGGTTTGTTTGAAATAATTTTGATGGTATTGACTATTGTTTTTGAACAAACTGAGGATTAGGAATGAAATTATTGTTGATCATTTGGTATTATGTGAAATGGGGTTTGAGTTTTCTGTTGGATTTGTTTAATTTCGTGATGATTTTGAGATAATTAGTTTATTAATTATCTATTTGGTGATTGGTGAAAAGTGAGGAAGCTGCAAAGGGTGCTTTGGTGTATAGCTACAAACATGCTGCAAGTGGATTTTCTGCTAAGCTGACTCCTCACCAGGTTTCTGAGCTTTCAAGTAAGTTTCAGTTTTGATCCTTTTTTTTTTTCTTTTCTGTTATCGGCTTACTTTCTCTATTCGATTTTTTTCAGTTGTGACCAATGACCATGATTAATTTGTTCTCCCTGATTTATATGTACTTTGTTGTTGCGTTTCGGTAGTTATTCAGATTGTTTTGTGCCTGTGAACATGAAAAAAATTCTCATTTAGTTTCCCATTCAAGATTTTTCAATCACTTGCAACAAACACATATTTTCATATTAATATTGTTTCTTGATCATATTTAAATCTGTATGTAGAATGCTTTTATACAAACTGGAGTTAAACATTCAGTTTTTCCATGTATCCTTTTGCATATCATTGTTTTGTTGCCACTTTTCTTCTTTGATTGATACCTTCTAAAATCTCCGTTTTTGGATCAATGTTTATAACTATGCTAATTGCTAAGCCACTGTGTGCACAAGGATTCGACTAATATTTATTTATTGCAGATGTTTTATATATGAACATGATTTTTATATATTGATTGTTTTTGGCAGAACAACCGGGTGTTCTTCAGGTTGTACCAAGTCAAACCCTCCACCTGCATTCTGGACATGGGACTGGGATGATGCACGTTTGAAATACTCAAATGTTATTACTAATGTCACACACTACTTGGTTCACAATGTTTGTTTGTCTTTGTGAACACATGTAATGTAACCTTGGATACCTTTGTTTAAATAAGTGACATAATCTTGAATACGTGAATAAAAACTTACTACTATGTGAAGCTTTGTGTGAGATCCATCTTTTGGGATATTATAATTTGTTGTTTATTGTTTTTGACTTTAAGCCATGACATTTTCAATAGCTTAATTTAATCAAGTGGACTTCTGCCATTCAGGCGAAGTTGCAACTTGCACGTTAAAACTGCAGAGAAATGGTCCTAATTTGTAAGTTACTCCAATCATATAATACTGATAATTGATGGTTTTATTTAAATATAATGTGTTCATCATGGATTCGTCAAAACCCAAATATAAATTCGATGATTTTGTTTAAATGTAAGAACACTAATTTAGCTAATCCCAACACAACATCGCAAAGTTCAACTGAACAACAATCAACTCATCCATGAAGAAGCATACTCAATCGGAGCCATTCAAAGAGGATGTACACCTTGCAAGGAAATACTATGAGACGAGAGGTTTCCTCATTTCAACATCATAACTCTGTATTACAATTAGTCTATAATTTCAAGTTTCTTAAATTTGATAATCATAAGAGGTGCGCCGTGCCCTCTGTCAGTTTAATGTATCAGTTCAAATTTAGGGATGTAAGATATATAGAGGAATCCCCATCTCCACAAAATGGGATGTATCTGTTCTATTCGTATACGCGCTTCCTCTTCAAAATGGTGGGGATTAATAAAATCGACCCAATGAGGAAAAGTATGGCCAATGTCTTGAAATCATACAGATCTTTCACCGACTTCAGTTCACCAAGAGCAAGCCCAGCCTATCCCCATACAAAAGAGCAGTATCACGTCAAACAATGTGATTACACAAGTCAAGAAAAAAAGAAAACGAAGTGTCTTACTCTAACGGTAATGTAGGAAGCTGGAACTAGACCAATAACAGTAGCAAGAAAGAAAATCTGAAATGGTATATCCACAATCGGTGATGCCAAATTGATAAACAGGTTTGGCAATGTCGGAGTAACTCTCAGAAACAGCATGTAATTGAGCAACTTCTCTCTTCTCTTTGCGATCTGAAACCAATAAACTTCGAAACTAAGACAGCTTAAACGAATTAAGCAGTTTTAAAATGTCGAATTCAAACAAATAATAATACCTCTGCCTGAAAAAACTTAAGTTTTTCAGGCCACAGCCAGGTAACAATAGGCCTGCCAATGAGTTTGGACAAAAAATAGCAGGAAGAAGCACCTGCTGTGGCATTAAAGACAACCAAGAGAAGACCTTTGATAACACCAAAAAGTGCTCCAGCTAGTAATGACATGAAAATTGTCCCAGGAATCATAAATGTCTGCATGAATATATATGTTGAACAGTAGCCTAGAATGAACTTTGCTGGATTCACTTGAGCGTAAGTCACAAGATGATCCCTGGAGCATATCGGAAAGTGAAAAAATCAAATCAGTGAAGAGTGGAAAACATTACAGAAACTAAAAAGGCATCAAAATTAGAAACTTCCACTACCCAAGGGAAACAAGCATTTGGAACTGATATGAGTTAGTCTATTCAACTCCCAATTCACTTCAACCAAACCTTTTCCACTTATTGTACTGTCAAACTCTGATATCAGTTAGTCCACATAACTTATCGTTTTCCATTCAGATAAAAATTCAACGATCACAAGGTTTAAGAAAGCTATCATACATACAACCTACATATTCCTTCCTTACAAGGGTTTGGGATCGGAATCTGAACAAACGTTCAGGGCAAGTCCAGTAACTGAGATAAACAGAGTTTTTAATGAAGTACATTGCGGCAACGGTGATTCCCTAATGAATCTTTCCATTAGAAAAGAAGAAGAATAAATCAACACCCCACAGTCAAATGAGTGGTGCAAAACCAATGGCAAAATATATATCAAATTGTTACATGTTAAGCATAAATGTATCAGTCACCAGAAAATGTACTCATCCATAGGGTCGTATGTGTTATGTTCCCGAACTGAACCTAAACAGACTAAGTTACGATGATGGGAGATTAACAAATAGCTTTGATCCATAGGATCTTATAGCTAACCAAAAGACATATACTTGTTAGGAAACACAAAACCTAAGATATAATGAAGAAGGTTAACAGCTTTCATCCCCTACACCTAATAGAATGAACTGAATATTTCAGGTAGAATCTGAAAATCATAACAAAAAAATATAGCTTAGCCAAAACAAAGGACTATAATACAAGGGCAAAAAATCTGAAGAATTGCTTACTTGAGCAATCGAAGATCAGCAAGCGTACGAGGCAACTTTAACATCTCGTACTCCGCGGCAGGCATGGTGAGGTAAATGCACAACAACCCGGTAGAAAATACCAAAAATACCCCCAAAGCCGCCGCGAATTCCCACCGTGAGAGGGGAAATTTTTCCGGCTTAAGCTTCTTCCCCGAGGGAGACTCGGCATCCTGATCCAACCCCCAGCTGCCGGTTTCCACCACCACACTCCGCGGCGCCGCCATAAATACCAACGGTGAAACCAATGCCGATGCGCAATAAACAAAGTGTTTGGGGGCGATGAGAAACGGCAGGATTTTGACCTTAATTACGATAAGAATGATTAAAGCAAAATCGATTTCTGGGTTTGGATCATTGGTATGGGTGCTGGCACTCGTGATGCCATAAAAGCATGGGGGGTGAGGGGAATTAAATGGTGCAAAAATAAAGAAAAATCGGGATAGAAAAGAAGTGAAAAATACGTTAAGAGAGATTCAAAAGGGGGAAATCATGAAACAATAAGCTGGGGAAATGAAGACTGAAAATCGAAGTATATATATAAATATATATATATAGGGATCAAGAAAGAGATGTACGATGAAATATGAATACGAATGATGAGCAATTAAATCCCAAGATAAAAAGTTGTAAGCTTGTCTGAGTGTGTTGTGCGTGTTTTCCTTTTCCTTGGAGATTGTGTTTCTGCCTGCCTGCCTGCCCTTTCTAGAGAGAGAAAGAGAGACAAGAGAGAGAGAGGAAGAGAGAGAAGTCAATGATGGGGCGTGAAAGGATTTACTATTATTATTTACTTTTCCGTTTCGTTCAATGAATTAATTTTCGAAATTGAATAACAAATTCTTTTTCCCGAATTCTCATTCAGGAAATTCAACTTAATACCTAACTTTATGGTGGCTGTTAATAGGAATTAAGAATATTATTTCTATATATTATTGCTCCTAGAAGACTAATAATATGTGTAATATGAATTTATTAAAAAAAAGAAAACATATAGGAATAATACTAGGTACTGTTGTCACTAAAAAGACAGAATATAAATATAGCAGACTAGCAACCAATCAATTATTTATCGTATTCAAATTTGTCCAGGTCACTTAATTGGGTCGCACAAGAACGAGGATAATATGGGCCTATTGGGCCGGAGCCCTTTAAAGCATATTATCAGAGTAAAAAAGACCAAAAATTACAATAATGCCATTTTCAACCTTAATAAATTCAGTTGAAGACAAGTTCAACGGGAAGCAACAAGTATCTGAAAATATACATATAAAAAACAGTAAGAAAATAAAGCAATAAACAAGTAAAATGAACAATTTATATATCCTATATGACTCAACTTGGTGAACTGCAGCATATACATATATATATATATATATATATATATATATATATATATATATATATATATATATATATATGATCTAAGCCCAACTTTTGAAAAAGTCAGTTATTTGTACATTTTCAATTGAAAATCCTAAATATGAAATGAATATAATGCAAAATATAAATTATATAATGTAGAGAGGATAGCTACAAGTGAGGGAAGCATTCAAGTACATTGCTTATATGAGTGTGATCATCTAATAAGTCATGATAATTATCGTGCATGTTTGTGTATGCGTATGATGATGATGCCGCATTAATCTCCTCTACTTGAGTACAAGTAGAATAATGTAGCTTGTCAAAGCTCTTCCATTCGCTGTACGACATATCACCAAAACTACTTATCTTGTCATCGGAGGGGCTGTCGAGCTTCGGAAGCTCTACCATTTGGCTTATTTCTAAACGGCTTATAAATCCAGTCTTGAGATCATTATCGGACTGATCTACTGGAAATATTGTTAGTGGAGGCTGATTAATATTAACTGGTGTACAGCTATTACTTGCTCCACTTTGATTACTTATAAGGCCGAGATCATCAAGAATATCATCTTTATGTATTAATAGATTTGTCGAGGTATTACTAGGAAATGAGGACGGATGCCTGTAATTTGTGATGTCTGATGATGATGACCTGATGGCATAGTAATTAGTGTTGTTGTTCCAAGCTTCGAAACCTTGTTTGTGACTTGGACTTGGCTTCTTGAATGCACGACAAACAACCCATCCTTCTTCCTGTTAATTAATTACATGATGTATGTATATATAGTCAGATAATAGTAATTAGCATAATTAATTCAACCTCAGATAGTGCTGTTGGAAAGAATGGCTGTCATGTCTCAAATAATTGCAGACATAATCATGCATGTTATTGTGCACAAACTCATAAGTAATGATCAATTCTTGGCCATCAACTTCCATTGCACTTAGACTTGTGCAATAAATATCACGTTTTAAATGCATTAGTAAGCACCTAAAAAAAATATATAATAATATATGCTATAGAAGAAAATGTTTCTAACAATCATGCATTATTAACTGGAGCTATGCTGAAGCAATAATATATTTCTCATTTCTGTTAATTTAATCCATCTATGTATTCAAGATTAATAACTATATATATTATTACTTACCTGAGTAGGTTCGTGTTCAGATGCCTGGATGCGATATTCGTGCATGATCCAATCGCTCTTTCTACCATTAGGGGCACGCCCCTCGTAGTACACCAATGTCTTTCTCATTCCTATCAGTTTGTCCTCCTTTGAGTGTACAGCTTTGTCTCTTCCTGTTGCCTTCCAAAAACCAGCTGCTGTTGCCCTATTCGTTCGCGTCCCTGTCGGATATTTCCTGTCCTTGTGACTGAAGAAATACCACTCGTTTTGTTCCGACACGCTTCCTGATTTGCACCTCTCTGTTGTTGTATACATTTTATAAAATATTAGATCATGATTTATAGCTCATCATCAAAAATTATATATACATATGGATCTAAATGATGATCCGATCCATTAAATGAAGATCCGATCAGTTGATTAGGTTTACAGTAGAGTAGGTTTAATGGTAGGTAGCTGCAAATTAATGATGGGGATGATATATGTGTTTTGTACCTTGAATATCCCATGGCTCGATTCTGTAGAGATCGATATCAATGATGACATCAAGATCAATTTTAAGAGAGTTGACCTTTCTGCTGAGATAGTAGCCAACCAATTCTTCTTCGGTGGGGCGAAATCGAAACCCTGGAGGTACGCTTGTTGATGAGTACTCCATTGCTGCATTTTCCATTCTTGACGCTCAGATCAAATTCCGATCTCTGAGATACCAGAATACTACTATAAGTTTTAGTACTTATATCTCATGAAGATCGGAGATTATATATATTTAATCACTTTTTAGGTGATCAACTGAGAAAACAAGTGTTCCTTTTTTTCCCTTGTTGTTTATAAAAGGCTATTTGTAAAGCTACTTTCGTAATATCGACATTCCTTGTTGAAGAAGTTGAGATGAAATAAACAAATAAAAAAAAAAATAGAAGAAGAGAGTAAAATTCACACAGCTGATGGATGGATGATGTGTGTTTTATGATGAATCTCATGAAATGATGATGATTTATTTGAATGGATGACATCCATTCGTGAGCACATATATGTATGTATTATATTGATGGAAATAAACAATTATGATATATATTGCAGGTCCCAACTGCCAACTTGTACACTGCACTGCAATGCGATGTATGTGTGTTTTATGATCGAGGAAGTTGAAAATGGTAGACCAACAGTGGTACCCCACCCCCACTAGCTAAGCTACTCCACCCCCAAAGGCCAAACCCTAGGGCAATAATCCCCTAAAACATATTTAGGTCAATCCCTTTGAGATGCATGTACAGGAGGAGAGGTGATTAGGCAGCGAAGTATGTTGAACACAAAAGTATATATATCTTCAATCCATATGTATATATATATTGGTGGTGGTGGCCGTAAAGATTGACACCCATAGCTTTTTTTATTATTGAGAGAGAGAGAGAGAGAGAGAGAGAGAGAGATTATTGATGATGATGATGAGGGCATGTATGTTTCGTGATTTGTTTGAGTGCATTCAACTCCATGCTTTCTTCCTGGTGGGTGCACTAGGGCTTTTCACATGCACCCACCCTATACCCCTTGTTGCATTTCTTTTAATTATCAATTCTTTATATTATGACATATTATTATTATTATTATTATTATTATTATTATATGATTCACAATAGAATATATATATATATATATATATGCTCAGCAAATAAGTAGCCCTAAGGGACTCCTTCCTATTATTAATTATTATATTTGTAATTTCTATCTTCTCATGGGTAAAAACACACATACACAAACTAGCTGATCAGGAGAGAGCACAACATTAATATAATGTAATTCATATTAATTACTAATTAAGCTAATTGCATATTTTCAGCCAGCAAAAACCATTATAGACTATGATCAGTACTTCCCATATATCTTATACACATTACTTCCCATATATCTTATACACAGCTTAGTTCATCACATATATAATTATTACCTGCAGGTTGAATAAGTGACCCCCATACATATATATACATTCAAGAAGCCATCATATAATATATGTTTTCAATAAAATACTAACCCTAAAATTCAACCTTCGATCCTTCTGTGTTCTTCGATCAACTGCTCACAGAGAGAGAGAGAGAGAGAGAGAGAGAGAGAGAGAGTTTGAATATATTGTTGGTATATATGTGAGGGTGGGTGATCGATGATCAATAAAAGTATATGGTTAATTAATGTTGGTGATGCACGTATATATATATATGATGATGATAAGCAGATGCAAACAGTAAATATATGAGTTAGAATGGGACTGCAAACACATATATATAATATTGATTATAAGTTATTAAATAAAGCTAATATATATATAGAGAGTGTAATAACAACAAGGGTTAATTATTATTGAGTAGTAGTAGTAGTAGTAGTAGTAGTAGTAGTAGGCGTGGGGTGGCAGCATCAGATATTAATGGATCAAATTAAACAGGTTTGTTTGTTTGTTTGGACGGCGCCATTTTTATTTTTATTTTTTCACGTACGCCTCCCCTCCACCCCTCTCTTAACTTCTCATTTCTCTATTCTCTTCTTACTTTAATTAATTAACCACTTAATTCCTTTTTTTTTTCCTTAATTAATTTCATCAACTTGTCATTTGTCTCGCTACTACTCATTGCAATTCCATTAATCCCATCATCATAATTTCTTGTATTATATTACACTTTATTTTATTTTTCATATTCTTCTGTTCTGTATCACTAGGGATATATAATTACTAGTGTCTATGTGTGTATGTATGTGCAGTTTTTGCTCAACCCACAATCCAGCTATCCTTTGTCTTCCACAATTGCCTCCACCCACCGCCCGCCACCTGTACCTACAACTCCATCGCTATTTTGGAATACCTAATAATCATTTGTTGCATTCGATCATTTGTTGGAATACCTTAGTCATCATCAGATACATAATATTATTTATTCTAAATGTCATAGGAGTACTTGATAATCTATTCCTTAAATATATATATAATTTTATCATTCTTTTAAGTTTCAATGTGAGCAATATTTCACGACTTACTCAAGTTGTTATTTACATTAATGCCATATGTTTGCAGTTAAAAGTTATAAGTTAGGGGACGGAGGGGACAGAAAAAGGCATATCATATCATTTGTGGAGCAACAGCAACTTGACAAAAATAATTAATGAATTAAAAAGTAAAAATATACAGCTACCTAGAAAAATCAAAACCTAGGATTATATTATGATGTGAAGATGAATAAAGATTAGATAATTAGAGACGATATAGTAAAAGATTTGATAATAAGAGTGAAAGGCAATTAGGTATATATAGAGAGTATTTTATTTTTGTTGGGGCGGTTTAGTTTGTGGGACTGAACAAGGAAGCTGTCCTGCTTTGCCAACACACACACTTGATTCATTCATTCATTCATTCTCGGACATTTTTTTCAACCCTCTCATCATCATACATCATACAGAGTACATACATAAATATTATTTTGCCAGCCTAGTTTGTATTTGTTAATTGTATATGTAATAATGGAGTGGGAGGATATCCGGGCATAATATAATATAATATTAAGACCCGGCCCGGAAAATTGTATCTGATCGAGTAGGAGTTATAGGGTCCATTTGAGAAGCCAATATATATATGGGCTTAACTCTATTAATATATGTATGGGCTTTGCTACCCAATTATCAGAAATATATGGGCTTTGCTTGTTCACATTAGATTGATTACACGCAGGCAGGCAGTTGCTTTTTGGTTGATGCCCTGCCCTGCACTTGCTTTCTCTCACAGACCACCAGAATAATAATATAGAGGAGGATCAAGAAAAGATAATTTGGGAGGGAGGGTGAAAGAATTTATGGTCCCGAATTCGTTTAATACAGAGGTGTTATCTTAAGTGTTATGACACTTGAACAAACATGCAGCGGAAATATAAAGATAAAAGAACAGTGCTCAGAATTAAAAATGTTCACAAGTAAAGACTTGTGAACTTGCCCTTTACAGGACGAAAAATATATTAAAAACAGTATTCCAAGAATACAAACAGAAGAGGTGCGAAAACTTCTTCCTTATGAATGAATCTTTTTCAAGATCATTCTTACAATCAAATCTAGATACTAAAAGAAAAATATTAAAAATTCTAGATTTCAAAGATGTACTCGTGAGGAGTACGTAAAGAACTTATGAATGAATCACTATCTTGATCATTCTTACAACCAAGTCTAGAAACATATATACTAAACAATCTAGACTACAAAGAATGTACTTATGAGAAGTACGTAAAGAATGTACTCATAAGGAGTACGTAAAGAATGTACTCACGAAGAGTACGTAAAGAATGTACTCATGAAGAGTACAAACAACCGATTCTAAAACCTAACTAAAACACTCGTGTATTCTCTTCAGCCCTCGGTTTTTATTTCGTAGAATCGATCATCTTCCTTGAGTATTGAAGTCGGTATTTATAGGCATTCCAAGCATCCACTCCTCAGCCCATGATCTGCAAGAAAAACCAACTACAAGAGCACTCAAGAACATGGGTTAGTGGGTTAGTGGGTTAGTTTAAGGAGTTAGAATAATATTCACAATTAAACCCACTTAAGCACTACTTAGCCCACTAAGCACTATACTTAACCCACTAAGCACTACTTATTCCATAACTAAAATTTAGTTTTAAAAAATAAGAAAGTTAAAAACACAACGTGGAGATAATCCACGCTCACGTGTTTCAAACTCCCCCTTTTTAACTTTCTGATCAAAACTAAATTTTAGCTTAACTCCCCCTGAGTCATTGCTTGAACTCCCCCTGAATTTGACAACCAACATTAACATAAAAGTTCATAGGGAAAATAAAAACTGAACAAAACCATGTATTGTTCATTAAAACAAATTAAAGTAGAATATCCAAAGTCTCCTCAGTATCAGCTGCTGCTCCTCCATCATTAGCGCTGGATCCACTGCTTTCCTCTGCTCCTTGAACTTCACCCTCATTCCTTGCTCCCTCTTTATTGACTCCTTGCTCCCTGCCTCTGGCATCCAAAGGATGAGAAGTCCCTGCTTCAATCTTCATGACTAGCTTTTTCTCCCCCTTTTTGATCAGAAAGATCTCTCTGAAGTATTTCCACCATGCACTGATGATAGGTGATCTGAACTAGGGAGTGAGTAAGCTGTTTTAACAAAATAAATCTCGAGAAACAGAAATAAGGATGTCAGGAGTGTTGTCAACATGAGGAGCAACACCTTCAGTACCAAGATTATTTTGACCTGATTCAGTTGAGAGGGAATTATCTCCATTCCAGGGAAGATCTTGGACATGAGGAGCTTTTAGAAAATTTTGAAAAACAATTATCATGCCAAGTGTGAGAGAGCAGAATGGAGTAGATGAGAGAAGAATTTAAAACGATTGCCAGAAAGAGTCTTACAAACTTCAGTAAAATCACCATAATTATCCTCATCAATCACAGTAGAAGTTTGTAAATGAGAGTTGATAATTTTGAAAAAAAAATAGAATTTCACACAAAATTTTTTTTTCAAAGTTTGGAGAATTTTTCTTTAAAAAAGAAGTTTGTAAATTGGCATAAAAATTCCTTCACAACAGAAAGATCATAAGGACAGGCAACCTCAACTTTGATCAAGAAAAACAGTGATCCTATGCCTATCAAACTCATCATTTGAAAATTTTCTTTTCCTCAATTTGAATCAGATTCAAAATAAAATATATAACTGAAAGCATTGTTTTACCTCAAAAAAAAAGAGTTGACAGTTCCTTCCCATCCAAGTCTAGCTCTTCTTCTTCTGAAGATTCCTCTTCTTCTAAGTCTTCAAGTTCATCTGGTATGCATGCTGGCTCAGGTGATGCAACAGGTGGAGCAGCATCTTCTTCTTCTTCACTTTTCTCTTCTTCTTCAGTCTGGGAAGGTGGTGCATCCACTTGAACAGCTGCCTTTGCTAGAATTTCCAGAAGATCTTCATGAGGAGCTGAGGGTGTTTCTTCAGTAGTGGTAAAGTCCTGAGCATTAACAGTGGGAATGTCAACATGCTCTGCAGATGACATCCCAGAAAAGTCAGGTATTTCCTCATCGTGGTAGGAAGCA